CTGTCAGTGGAAGGAATAGTGTCCCATCATTGGTATCAGTGGGAGGAATAGTGCCCCATCATTGGTATCAGTGGGAGGAATAGTGCCCCATCATTGGTGTCAGTGGGAGGAATAGTGCCCCATCATTGCTGTCAGTGGGAGGAATAGTGCCCCATCATTGGTGTCAGTGGGAGGAATAGTGCCCCATCATTGCTGTCAGTGGAAGAAATGGTACCCTACCATTGGTCTCAGTGGGAGGAATAGTGCCCCATCATTGGTCTCAGTGGGAGGAACAGTGCCCCATCATTGGTATCAGTGGGAAGAAAAGTGCCCCATCATTGGTATCAGTGGGAGGAATAGTGCCCCATCATTGGTGTCAGTAGGAGGAATAGTGCCCCATCATTGGTATCAGTGGGAGGAATAGTGCCCCATCATTGGTATCAGTGGGAGGAATAGTGCCCCATCATTGGTATCAGTGGGAGGAATAGTGCCCCATCATTGGTATCAGTGGGAGGAATAGTGCCCCGTCATTGGTATCAGTGGGAGGAATTGTGCCCCATCATTGGTGTCAGTGGGAGGAATAGTGCCCCATCATTGGTGTCAGTGGGAGGAATAGTGCCCCATCATTGGTGTCAGTGGGAGGAATAGTGCCCCATCATTGGTGTCAGTGGGAGGAATAGTGCCCCATCATTGGTATCAGTGGGAGGAATAGTGTCCCATCATTGGTGTCTTGATTTCACAAAAGATTTAGTTTGTGACCATAACTAGCACCACTTTAGATCTATTAGAAGATCAAAGGTAAACAAAGCTTCATAATGAAGAGCATCCAGTGACCAAGAGTCAGTCGATATCTTGATGACAGAGTGACTCATGGAACCCCCTTAATTTCACCCACCCCATTGACCCCAATGCACTTCCCCAAGCCAAAATTTCTCTTAGGCCTCTCTCTGATTTTCTCTGAAGTTTCTTGAAAAATTCCAATTCCTCTACTGGCCATCACTAACATCCACTTTCTGCTAGAGGATCCAAGGCAGATGGATGGATAACAAAGAGCATTCATTGACTAAACGTCAACCCATATCCTGATACTAGGGTGAACCACGAACCCCCTTATTTCACCTTCCTCACTGACTCCAAGGCATTTCTCCAAAATAGGGAAACTTAGCCAAAATCTTCAGATTTTTTTTCTGTCATTTCTAGAAAACTCTCAATTTCTCTAGTGATCATAACTAGCACCCACGTCAGATCTATTAGAAGATCCCAGGTAGACAGAGCTTCATAACAAGGAGCATCCGTTGACCAAGAGTCTACCAATATCCTGAGGTCAGAGTGAATCATGGAACCCCCTTAATTTCACTCACCCTATTGACTCCAATGCACGTCCCCAAGCCAAAATGTCTCGTAGCCAAAATCTTCTGATTTTCTCTAACATTTCTAGAAAACCCTCATTTTCTCCAGTCACCATAACTAGCATCCACTTCAGATCTATTAGAAGATCCAGGGCAGACGGAGCTTGATAACAAGGAGCATCCGTTGACCAAAAGTCAACCAATATGCTGATGTCAGAGTGAATCATGGAACCCCTTAATTTCCCCCACCTCCTGACTCCAATGCTCTTCCCCAAGACAAAACATCTCTTAGCCAAAATCTTCTGACAACATTTCTAGAAAACCCTCATTTTCTCCAGTCACCATAACTAGCATCCACTTCAGATCTATTGGAAGATCCCAGGTAGACAGAGCTTCATAACAAGGAGCATCCATTGACCAAGAGTCAACCAATATCCTGATGTCAGAGTGAATCATGGAACCCTCTTAATTTCTCCCACCCTACAGACTCCAATGCACCTCCCCAAGACAAAACATCTCTTAGCCAAAATCTTCTGACAACATTTCTAGAAAACCCTCATTTTCTCTAGTCACCATAGCTAGTATCCACTTTAGATCTATTGGAAGATCCAGGGTAGATGGAGCATCTTAACAAGAAGCATCCATTGACCAAGAGTCAACCAATATCCTGATGTCAGAGTGAATCATGGAACCCCCTTAATTTCCCCCACCTTCTGACTCCAATGCTCTTCCCCAAGACAAAACATCTCTTAGCCAAAATCATCTGACAACATTTCTAGAAAACCCTCATTTTCTCCAGTCACCATAACTAGCATCCACTTCAGATCTATTGGAAGATCCCAGGTAGGCAGAGCTTCATAACAAGGAGCATCCGTTGACCAAGAGTCAACCAATATCCTGATGTGAGAGTGAATTATGGAACCCCTTAATTTCATCCACCCTACTAACTCCAATGCACTTCCCCAAGACAAAACATCTCTTAGCCAAAATCTTCTGATTTTCTCTAACATTTCTAGAAAACCCTCATTTTCTGCAGTCACCATAACTAGCATCTACTTCAGATCTATTGGAAGATCCAGGGCAGACGGAGTTTCATAACAAGGAGCATCCGTTGACCAAGAGTCTGCCAGTATCCTGATGCTAGAGTGAATCATGAACACCTCATTACCATACACAGGCCCTCGGGTCATGATGAAGCTGTTTGAACAGATTACAGCAGTCTTGTTCTATATTAGATTATCTGTAAACTATTTGCGTGCCCGAGGCCTGCTAGACCTCATTAATTTCCCAGCTGGGCAGAATTTTACATTAACAAGTGGCCATCTCCTTCGTGTCCTTTTCATGCCTCCTTCTGATCCCCGGCTACCCAACAAGAAATAGGATTGCTTTTCAAAGACGAGCCATTTAGACGGATGCAGAAGACAATGGGGGGGGGCTGGAGATTAGCAAGTAAGGATAAAGAAGGCACTTTTTTTTTAGACTAAGAATAAAAAACTGACATTATGGACATATTCCTTTCCTCAAAAGGTACTCAGTTACGTTCTCTTTTGTGTAATAGCTGGATATACACGGCTCAAAAAAATGAAAGGAAGACTTTGAAAACCCATCAGATCTCAATGGGGAAAAATCTCCTGCTGGATCTCTATCCTGATATGGATGGGGTAATGGAACGTAAGGACGCCCCATCGTTTGATGGAAATGAAAATGATCGACCTACAGAGGACTGAATTCAAAGACATCCCGAAAATCAAAGTGAAAAAATGATGCAGCAGGCGAGTCCATGTTGGTGAAATGTCATTGCAGCAACTCAGAATGGTCCTCAGTAGTCTGTGTGGCCCCCACGTGCGTGTATGCATGTCTGACAACGTCGGGGGAGGGTCCTAATGAGACCACGGATGGTGTCCTGGGGGATTTCCTCCCAGATCTGGACCAGGGCATCACTGAGTTCCTGGACAGTCTGAGGTGCAACCTGGCAACTTCAGATGATATCCCAGAGGTGTTCTATTGGATTTAGGTCAGGAGAGCTTGGGGGCCATTCAATGGTATCAATTTCTTCATCCTCCAGGAACTGCCTGCATACTCTCACCACACAAGGCCAGGTATTGTCATGCACCAGGAGGAACCCAGGACCCACTGCACCAGGAGGAGCCCAGGACCCACTGCACCAGGAGGAACCCAGGACCCACTGCACCAGGAGGAGCCAAGGACCCACTGCACCAGGAGGAGCCCAGGACCCACTGCAGCAGGAGGAACCCAGGACCCACTGCAGCAGGAGGAACCCAGGACCCACTGCACCAGGAGGAACCCAGGACCCATTGCACCAGGAGGGACTCAGGACCCACTGCACCAGGAGGAACCCAGGAGCCACTTCACCAGTGTAGGGTCTGACAATGGGACCAAGGATTTCATCTCGATATCTACCTGCGAGGCAGTGAGCACAGGGCCCACTAGAGGATGTTGGGCCCTCAGGCCATCCTCATGAAGTCTGTTTCTGATTGTTTGGTCAGAGACATTCACACCAGTGGCCTGCTGGAGGTCATCTTGTAGGGCTCTGGCAGGGCTCATCCTGTTCCTCCTTGCACAAAGGAGCAGATGCTGGTCCTTCTGATGGGTTAAGGACCTTCTATGGCCCTGTCCAGCTCTCCTAGAGGAACTGCCTGTCTTCTGGAATCTCCTCCATGCTCTTGAGACTGTGCTGGGAGACACATCAAACCTTCTGGCAATGGCACGTATTGATGTGCCATCCTGGAGGAGTTGGACTGCCTGTGCAACCTCTGTAGGGTCCAGGTATGGCCTCATGCTACCAGTAGTGACACCGACCCCAGCCAAATGCAAAACTAGTGAAAAACAGTCAGAAAAGATGAGTGGGGGGAAAATGTCAGTGGCCTCCACCTGTAAAACCATTCCTGTTCTGGGGGTCGATTTATTGTTGCCCATCTAGTGCACCTGTTGGTAATTTCATTACCACCAAAGCAGCTGAAATCGATCAACCCCCCCCTCTGCGACTTACCTGACCAGATCCATATCCCAGGAGTGTCACTGACTTGATGCTAGACTCGGATTACAAAGTCTTCCTTTCATTTTTTTGATAGATAGATACTGTAGATATGGGAGGGATAGATAGGTCTTTTTGCAGGCACTTCCTGGGTTGTGGTGACAACGCTCTATCACTGTCTCCCAACTGTCCACGAGCATTGTCACTCTGCCACTTGGGCTTCCAGCGCACACCATTATTGGCCATGCTGACACACACAAATTGCAGTCTAGGTCCCCCTGAGTTTGGTCCGGAGCAATGATGTGCAGCCGATGCTGGAGTCAGTCTATGTAGATGGTAAGTGGCTGAAAGAGGCTGGAGGAAATCTGCAGCGCTAAGCCAGAAAAAAAAGTATTATAAAAAGACCAGAGTTTCTCATCCAGAATTCAAGAGGTTGCTAGATGATGCTGGATGTCCTCCAGCCTGGAAATGAGGCGGAGCTCTGTCTGACTTGCTGCAGCTTCTAATGCACATTGTGAGAAGCTCCCAGTGTGCAGTGACATCAGAGGAAGCCATTTCAGTCCAGGAGAGGAGTCGGTACAACCATGCAAGACTGAAGGGGAGGAGCCAGCACACTTGTGCAAGACTGAAGGGGAGGAGCCTGTACAATTGTGCAAGACTGAAGGGGAGGAGCCGGTACACCTGTGCAAGACTGAAGGGGAGGAGCCTGTACAATTGTGCAAGACTGAAGGGGAGGAGCCGGTACAACCGTGCAAGACTGAAGGGGAGGAGCCTGTACAATTGTGCAAGACTGAAGGGGAGGAGCAGGTACACCTGTGTAATACTGGAAGGGAGGAGCTGGTACACCTGTGCAAGACTGAAGGGGAGGAGCCGGTACAACTGTGAGAGAATGAAGGGGAGGAGCCGGTACACCTGCGCAAGACTGAAGGGGAGGAGCCGGTACAACTGTGTGAGACTGAAGGGGAGGAACGGGTACAACTGTGCGAGACTGAAGGGGAGGAGCCGGTATACCTGTGCAAGACTGAAGGGGAGGAGCCGGTACACCTGTGAAAGACTGAAGGGGAGGAGCCGTTACACCTGTGCAAGACTGAACGGGAGGAGCCGGTACACCTGTGTAATACTGAAGGGGAGGAGCCGGTGCACCTTTGTAATACTGGAGGGGAGGAGTCGGTACCCATGCTGTGTAATACTGGAGGGGAGGAGCCAGTACCCCTGCTGTGTAATACTGGAGGGGAGGAGCCGGTACCCCTGCTGTGTAATACTGGAGGTCAGCTTTAGGACCTAGGTTAGCATCAGAGCTGATATGACCGGGGGGGGGGGGCTGCAGCCCCGCACTGTAGGGGGGAGCGAGGCTCAGCACTGAACATGATATATCTCCATTTCTTTTGTTACCCAGCCCCCGACATCTAGCTTAGGGACATTTGGGGGTCACTTGTTGGGACTCTGCAGACCCTCCGTCCGGTCCCGGCCCAGCTAGCGTGTATCTGATGAATACATGGAACAGCCGTGTTCCGTGCCATCTGCTCACTTGACGCGCTGTGTTTGGGATGCAGGTTTTTCTGGGTGTTCTCAGAGAAGGGTTCATGACGATGAAATGCATGTCACCGCGATGTGCCAGGAATACATTACTCCTCATTATTTCTGCCTTCCCTGTCCGGACTTGTTTTCATTATAATTGTAAATGTCCTTTATTATTCTGTGCTGAACTTACTCGCTTCATGACGGAGATCTCGGCGCTCTCCCTTCCCTGTTTGAACATCGCTTTAAAAATAGCGCATTGCCTCACAGCCCAGGACTGAAGGCAGAAAAGATGGCTGCCCGGCGTCCTCCTGGCTTTATCAGCACGTTGAGGAATTTCCACTGTGATCAATGATAAGGGAACATCCCGGGACATTGGGTGCAAATCGCTACACAATTGCTGAATCCATTCGTCGTGTCTTCTTCTTCTTCTTCGTGTATCTTGGTGTGCTTTGTGCATTTCTTCCACCTCACTTCCTGTAATACAGACCGCTCATTGCTGATCCCTCTCCTTGTGCAGGGGAACTGGTCTTGTCTCCGCCCCCTATTGTAGTTTTTCTGTAGTGGGTGTGGTCTGCTGGGCCCCTCCCACAGCTCTGCTCTCTCTCCTTGTGCAGGGTGCGCAAGGTCTTGTCTCCACCCCCTCCTTTAGTTTTCTGTAGTGGGTGGGGCCTGATGGGCCCCTCCCACAGCTCTGTTCTCTCTCCTTGTGCAGGGTGACTGGTCTTGTCTCCACCCCCTCCTGTAGTTTTCTGTAGTGGGTGGGGCCTGCTGGGCTCCTCCCACAGCTCTGCTCTCTCTCCTTGTGCAGGGTGACTGGTCTTGTCTCCACCCCCTCCTGTAGTTTTCTGTAGTGGGTGGGGCCTGCTGGGCTCCTCCCACAGCTCTATTCTCTCTCCTTGTGCAGGGTGACTAATCTTGTTCCTGCCCCCTCCTGTAGTTTTCTGTAGTGGGTGGGGCCTGATGGGCTCCTCCCACAGCTCTGCTCTCTCTCCTTGTGCAGGGGGACTGGTCTTGTCTCCGCCCTCTCCTGTAGTTTTCTGTAGTGGGTGTGGCCTGCTGGGTCTCTCCAACAGCTCTGCTCTCTCTCCTTGTGCAGTATGACTGGTCATGTCTCTGCCCTCTTCTGTAGTGGGTGTGGCCTGCTGGGTCCCTCCCACAGCTCTGCTCTCTCTCCTTGTGCAGGGTGACTGGTCTTGTCTCTGCAGGAAGCCTGTAGTGGGTGGAGTCTGCTGGGCTCCTCCCACAGCTCTGCTCTCTGCACAGGCTATGTTCAGTGATGATGTCATTGCTACTTTTACAAAGTAATATCTGGGTTAGAAAAGGCATCTACAGAAGGATTTATATGTGGCTATTGAAGAATATATATTTTTTTAAAATGTTGTGGCTGGAGTTCAGCTTTAAGGCCCGGTTCACACTCCATGCATTTCAGTTGCACATTTTTTTCTGCATCCAAAACGCACAGAAAGTAGGTTCTATGGTTGCCAATGTCATAGTTCACACCAGTTCCAATCCAGATGCAGAAAAAAAAGTACAACAGGCTGCATTTTTCCTACACAGAACTGAACTCAAAAATGCACCAAAACGCACCAAAAAAAAACCCACACTGGAACCCACACATCCCTATTTAAATGGAAGAAAAAGAGAGGGGAAAAAAAT